TTGAAAGAAGGCATTGAAGAAATACTTTGTTCACAGATAGTTAACGGCTGTAACAGCATCCATTCACTTTCCTTCTGGTCACATGATCATGAGTCAAATGCTTGACAACCAGTTCACAATTACGATGGTTGCAGTGTCTTATTGTCATGTGATCACTATTTGCAACTTTCCCTGAAGGCAAAGTCAATGGAGAAGCCAACAGGAAATCACAAGTTATTCCCAACCCTACTGCTTTTTCTTATGCCTACCTGCAGCACTCCCTCCCCATCTCGTTAACGTTTGTGTGTTAGTTTGCTTTTCTAGGACTCCAGTCTCTTCCCAAGTTGCAATCATATGATGCCCTCACTTAATGACCCACATAGTCCTGAGATCATGGCAGCAACTGAGACTGCCAGGATTGGCATTGCTAAGTGATGCAGTCATGTGACATAGCACTTTATGATCACATCACTTAGCAACAGAAATTCCGGTCCTAATTGCCATTGTAACACAAGGACTACCTAAAGCAATAGCACTTAGACTTATATACCGCTTCACAGTGCTTTATAGCCCTCTCTAAGCGGCTTACAGAGTCACCATATTGCCTCCAACAATCTGGCTCCTCATTTTACTGACCTCGGAAGGTTGGAAGGCTGAGTCAACCTTGAGCTGGTGAGAATCGAACTGCCACCAGTTGGCAGAATCAGCCCACAATATTGCATTCCAGCCACTGTGCCACCACGGCTTATGTAACCAACTTGTAACTAAGGATAAAATTAGATATTTTTTTTAACATTTCAACTTGGACGAGCATTCAAGAGAATGTCTTAATTTCTTCCCTCATATAACTCTCTCTTAGTTCAGAATGATCACTAAGCTGGATAACTTGTTGGATTAGCTTATAAAGTTGGTTAAATAATATAAGTGCACTAGATATAAATGTATTTGAAGAAGATAATGTACAATTTTAAACATCCTATGTTTGCCTGAAAAGTAGTTAAGGAGTAGTTAATTGTGCTGAGGCACAATTCTTTCCTTTAATAGATTCCCCTTATGTTTTTTTGGGTGTATATTTGTTTGTATGGGTAAAGCTTTTACTAAAATGAACGGAAGCCTCTTCCGTTAAATTTGTTTATGATAAATCTTCTGAATTGGGCTGTTCACCCACTTAGCTTTATTAGTACATTAGGAGATTAAGGTGGGGTCGTATATTTGATTTCCTCAATCACATTGCAGTCTTGGATTAATTCCATTTTTGACATGAAGTATTGACCATGTAGCTCTAGATTTGGGAATTCAGATTAAACAGTTGCTTGTATGTTGAGGCAGCTGAGTCTACTGAGTGTACATGATACCATATCATAAATTTACACATAACTGAATACATACTTTTTGCTTACTCATCAATAGTACTCATTGATAGTTTATCCATGAATCAATTAATGAACTATACATAACAAAAATCTCCTTGTATAAAGTTGTTTTATTAGTGTGTGACATCCTTTCTCGCTTTTTAAAAGTTGCAAACTGTTGTTACAGTGTCAGACATACTAATGAGATGAAAGTGTGACTTTTAAAAAGCTTTTCAGGGACTGAGTAAATTATATTCAGTTGAGGTTTCCTAGATCCAAGCTGCTATGCTATGAAAGAGCCACTCTTTCTTTAGATTAAAGATTTATTGATAACAGTAAATAATTTCCTGTGAATGCAATCTAGCACTCATTTACCAAGCGATAAACCCTGTGAGTTCAGTAAGAAATTGTTCTAGGAAAATATACGTAATTTCCTTTCTTGGTTAGAATGTAAACCAAAGATAAAACTAAATGGTGTATTTTTTCTGCAATATTCCACTGAGGAAGTTAAACTATTAACGCAAATTATTTCATTTTTGCCAAGATTGTGATGCAACTTCATCTGATTTAAATTAGACTGAAAAATATAGGTTGTACGAAAGTAGCACTTCCTGTGACACATGAATATCTAATTGGGGGAAGGTGAACAGAAATTTTGTATTAAATTGTACAATTTATGTTGAGAACCAACTTTGCAGAAGACATCAATATCCTTTCTTTTCACTTTTATTTTTTAATCACTTACCCAAGCACCGGTTAGAGGTACACTGCTCATTCTAAGAATACCGAACTTTAATATTCTTTATGAGTAATAGGAGGAACTTAGAGATACCTTTGAAAAATAAATTTGCTATACAGCTATCTGATCTTGTATGAATAAAACCCCCAGTTGCTAAAGAAACGACTGTACTGTATTCTGTACATTCCTTTGAGAGTCTTGTTGCAGCACAGTTGTGGTGAAGCCATGGTAACACAAGAATAAAAACATAAATAGGCAGAATCAAGTTTTTGTGAAAACAGCCACAAGAAAAATAGTTTTGCAATCAAATTACTAAAACTGGTAAGATCTGTTAGAGCTAATGTAGATGGTGAAATCTGCTAATAGTTTTTTGTTAACTTTTTATCCTGTGTGCCACAGTGTGGCAATTGTGACTTTAACATGGCCACATACGTTGAGACCAGTTGCTATTTTTTTGTCTACCTTACACACTTTCTACAGATTATTCAGGTTTTTTTTCTTGTAGTTTAGTTTTGCTCTATGAGCTTTTTTCAATATTAGGTACAAACATGGACACACTCTAGAGTGTAGTATCATTTGTTGCGCTGCTGAATATCCCACAGAGGATCATTTTAAATGTTTGCATAAAAAGCTGAAATAAGTACAAACGTTGCCAGTATATTAACCAAGCATGAATGGCAAATACCAAGAGATATAACTAGATATTTTTTTCAAAATTTGGAGAGGATAGAAAGCCATGTCAATCTTCTAGATCAGGAGTGTCAAACTTATGGTGGCGTCATGTGACGTATCAGGACTTTTTTCCCCTTCGCTAAATCAGGGTTGGGTGTGGCCAGCACGTGACGCATCCAGCCCGCGGGCCGTGAGTTTGATACCCCTGTTCTAGATAGAACTGGTATAGAGTTTCCTGCTTTGAGCAGGAGGTTGGATTAGAAGACCTCCAAGATTCCTTCTAACTGTTGTTCTGTTAGTTTTAAAGAGCCAGGCATCTTTTTACTTTTGGGATTGGAAACATTATTGTATGCATACTTGGCTCAACTTTGTCTCCTTGCATTTCTCATCAGGCTTGGTTATCCAAGAGACAAAGCATGGGTAAGGAAAATTGGAAGGAGAGAGGAAGTATTGATGGGCAGCCATTGTATTGTCTTTTACTTACAAAATGAGACATTATGCAAGTAGCAAAAAGGATCTGTTCCGTTTTTCAATTTTATAGGGTTTATAGCTGTTTAGGGCATGTGTAGGTGATGTCAGTTTAGTGTAGTGGTTAAAGCATCAGGCTAGAAAACTGGGAAATATCATGAGTTCTGTTCCGCCTTGGGCACAAAGCCAACTGGGTGCCTTTGAACCAATCATTTTCTCTCAGCCCTAGGAAGGAGACAATAGTAAACTATTTCTGAAAACCTTGCCAAGAAAATAGCAGAGTCTTGTCCAGGCAGTTTCTGAGAATTGGTAAAAGAGGAGAGGAGAGGAGAGGAGAGAGGTGTAGTCTGGATGTTGCTGAACTGTGACTCCCAATTAGCTTCAGCCAACGTCACCAGTAGTGAAGTATGTTGGAACTTGTAACTTAAGAACTTCTGGTGGACTGTATTTTGCTCTACTTACATAGCTTAAGGCCAGAAAGGGGAATGGCCATCTGCTCCATTAAAGGACAATAGACATCCTTCTTAACACAGTTCATAGCTCTTAGTATGTGATACAGCTCTTAAAAAGAGTTTGTGCCTTTCAACAATGCAGTCTCTCTGTGATTATGTGTAGTAAATTTGTTTCTAAGGAACCAGGTCATAGGTTAATAGTACGACTGGTCGAATGCTCCATTTGTTTTATGAAATACACTTATGTAACAGCTATAATGACCCTTCTTTCTTCCTGTTTCTTGGTAGTTCTTCAACATTCCTCCGAAATGAATAACCTCTAAAATGAATCTTGTTGATGAAACAACTAAATCATTGCTCTCTTCAAACTACCAAAGGGTTAGATTTTAATGTAAGATTTACTTAAAATGTACCCCACTGATTTCTGTTGACATTATTAAGTCTGGCTACAAACCAAAATACTTTATTATAAAAATCCAGAATGTATGCTTTATTAATATTACCATTTTGATTAGTATTTCAAAACAGGGAAAAATAAAGTACATTGGAAGCAAATACAGTGGGTATATCAATTTGTGTTAAATTGCTGATATTCACAAAATTGATTATTAACATTAAAGTAGTCTAAATCTTTAATCAAATGTTACATCTGGGACTATATGATCATTAAACTCAATAACTTACAACCTTCCCTGCTTTCCCATTCATTTTCTGAGAAAGCCAGCAGGGAAGGTTCAAAGAGGAGCCTTGGTAGTACAGTGGTCTAAAGCACCCTGTTATTAACACCAGCTGCCTGCAATTACTGCAGGTTCAAATCTCACTAGGCTCAAGGTTGACTCAGCCTTCCATCCTTTCTAAGGTAGGTAAATTGAGGACCCAGTTTGTGGGGGCAATAAGCTGACTTTGTATAAATATACAAAAGTATGAAGGCTATTGCTTAGCGCACTGTAAGCCGCCCTGAGTCTCCGGAGAAGGGCAGCATATAAATCAAATTTTTAAAAAAAATGGTGATCATGAGGTACTACAACTGGTTGTAAGTACAAACTAGTGCCCAGATTTTGATCACATGGCTACAGAAGTGCTTGACAGCCAGAACTCTTGAGGACCAGTCATAACCAGCAATTCAGGGCCATCATAACTTTGAATGGTAACCATACAAAGGGTCATAGGTCAAGGACTACTCACTTTGGTTTTAAAGAACAGCATATTTTGCATTTACTCAGTTTTTTTCCTGCTTTCCTGAAAAATTGAAAAAGCTAAATTTGCTTTACTGTTTTAATATATGTTTAACACTTTATTTTTTAATGTTAAGTATGTATTGTATATTTCTTTTTTTAGGATTCAGTGGTCACAATTCAAAGGATATTTTATTTTCAAACTGGAGAAAGTAATGGATGACTTCAGAACTTCTGCTCCTGAGCCAAGAGGCCCTCCTAACCCTAATGTGGAATATATTCCCTTTGAGGAGATGAAAGAACGGATTCTGAAAATAGTTACTGGCTTTAATGGGTATGCAGAATTATATCAGTAACTTTGTTATTTAGACTGCTTGATTTGTCATCAAATTCAGGATTCTGTTCTGATCTTCATATTGTATTGATTTTCTGTCATATTTTTGCAACATGAATAATGGGTGTAAATAAATGTTTCTTGGCAAGGTTCTAACTCTTAATGCAAACATTTTGAATTGTACTTTTCTATGAAATTCCCTCACTTGTCTTCTCATAGCTCAGATTATACATGAAGCTATTGCACTCCAAATTCTAGTGGACATGTATCTACAGTTATTTTAAGTTTCTATTTATATCGGATATAGCAGTGTAGATCAGACCCTGGAACCTTTTAGTTGTTCTTTAAAAACTTGGCTTTTCTCCAAGCTGTGGATTAATGGTGTGCCCATTAATAGTTTTCATTGTGATTTTCTTTTCTTTTGTTTCAAACTATAATTATTTTTTAACAGAATTATTTAAGATTTATATATATCATGTTGACTGCATAACATTGGCTTATGTTAACTTTTTCAGATCATACATCTTGTTTTCTTGGCTATTTGTTTTCCAAACCTGTTTACATTTCAAAATATATATACAAAAAAGCAAAGAAAAAAGAATTTAAAAAAGGAAGCGACAAGAAAAAACCAAAATGGGGCAGTTCAGATAAGAAGGGAGAAAAGTTTTTTTTTTCAATTTCCAACTTTCTTTCATACAAGAATTGACTAGTTGCTTGTAGTTAACTCTGCAAGCTGCTTTTTAAATTAGACAGGATGTTTTGCATTACTTGAAATCATACTTAAAATGTATACTCTAATCTTGTTTAGAATTGCAATTGGAATGAATTGCAATTGGAATGAATTGCAAATGAATAATTTAATTTTGGAAGTGCAACAAGGGAAATATTGTGATGTGGTGATTTTCAACCTGTGGTCTACGGAGCCCTGAGGGGCTGCAATGTCATAGGCGGTCCGTGAAGGCTTGAAGAAATGTTACGATTTAAATCTTGAGTTAAGTCTTGATGGTCCATGACACGGGTGTCAAACTCGCCGTGTCACGTTGCCATCACGTGACATTTCACAATGTTTTTCCCATTCGCGGAGCTCGGGTAGGCGTCGCCTGTGCATGACGCATCCGGCCCATGGGCCGCCAGTTTGACACCCCTGGTCCATGGCCACAAAACATATTGTGGTCTGTGGTGGGGTCTGTGGTGAAGAAAAGGTTGAGAACTACTGTTGTAATGAATTTCCAAAGTGGGTTCCTGAGAAAGGGATTTATTAGGAAATTAATTTAAGAAACCAAAACTTTATTCTTATCAGAATAAAACTTTGACTTCTTGATTCCTTAATAGTTTGCAGAATCAGAATTTCTTCCAATCAGTGAATGATCATAACCCAAGAACTACTTCTGTTAATTCAGAACATGTAAGGAACTAATCTGTATAGAAATTATACGTATGTATGTTACATATTTACAGTTTTCTCTTCCAGAGAGCAGAATCTGTCTGTTATATTATTTGGCAGGGATAGAGTTTATATTTATGAACAATTGACACTTGGTGAAGATGTTTTAAGCACTGAAACACTATAAAGAATTTTTTAAACGTTGAGTAGATAAGAGGCCTCTGCTGAACTGAACAAGAGTATGAATAAGGAGACTGTTTAAAAAGTTATTTTTGTTTAATCAACATTTAAACTCACGTAGTTCTGACATTTGCAGTAGGCAGCCTATCATGATGCTTTCGAGTCATCAAACTGCCTACTCTGCTCTATTATTAGTATATTAATCATTCACTGAAAATAGCTATAGTTGATGTCCTAATTTTTAAATAGATGAGGATTCATTTACATTTGAAAAAAGAAGCAGTTATTTTATAGTATTGTATGAAAGCATATTTTCAATGAGTAAGTTTGTATCGCTTCCTATGAAGGAATTCAGAATCCTTTATAGCTGAGTGTATCTCTCAGCACACATATCTGAATACCTGAAAGCAAGAGATTCTTCACTTGGTCCACCCCTTATTAATTTTTTGTACTATCCAATGAATGATAATAATTAAGTGAATGTTTGGGGACTCTTTAGCCCTCAGGACACTTTGGAGGCAACACATATTTCTGTGATCTTGCAGCTCCACCTACTGTTTGTTTAATATAATACAGTGTTAGAGATAATAAATGAACAAGTGGTACATGTATGGTTATAGTTTTAAAAATGTACCAACTGAACAGGTTTATTCATTCTCTCAATATGCATTCAAAGTGAAAATTAGCTTGTTTCAATTTGTTTCAGTATCCCATTTACTATTCAGCGACTTTGTGAGCTGCTAACGGATCCTAGGCGGAATTACACAGGAATAGACAAATTTCTCAGAGGAGTAGAAAAGGTAATAGTGAATTGTTCTTGTTCTTGAACTAAAATTGTAGCTTTTGAAATTTGTTTAATCTTTTTAGCAGATTTAATAGAATTAATAGAATTTTGTTTTTTTAATTAAATTTTGCAATTGTTAAATAGTATAAACAGCAATTCTACTTCAATTATATTTCAATATTGTCTTCAATTGTTGCTTAATGAGTTTATATTTTTATTTATTGTATTTTGATTTGCATTTATTTGACTTTCTGATGAAACACATGCCAACCAATCCCATGTGCACAGTACTGTAGGAGATTGATCTGGCATGATTTTATTTATTTATTCATTGATTGATTTGATTTCTATAGCTGCCCATCTCAACAAGGGTGGCGTATATTATAAACAAAAAATATTAAAATGATTCAAAATAAATATATAGCACCAAGTTAAAAGATTCTTATGGATGTTAATGCAATTAATCAGGAAAGGGGACTCTGAACATATTTAGGGGTCCAGGCCCTGGCACATAACCAAGTCTTCATGGCCTTGTGGAGCAGCCAACAGGGTCAGGGTCATCCTAATATTTGAAAGGAGAATATTCCAGAGTGCAGAGGCTACGGCAGAGAAGTCATGTCTCATGGTTCCATCGGCTGACAGGACCTGCAACATGTCCAACCAACTGGTAGAAACAAACAACTGGGAGAAAATGGCCTTTAGATAACCTGGCCCTTAAGCCATGAAATGCTTCAAAAGAAATAACCAGCATCTTGAATTGCACCTAGAATCATACTGGCAATCGATGCAGCTCACACAACAGTGATGCTACATGTGTTGAATACCCAACACCCATTACTGCCTATGCAACTGCATTCTGCACCAGTTGAACTGTCCAAACACTTTTCAGTGGTAGCTTCACATAGACTGCATTGCAGTAGTCCAGGCAAGAAGTCACAAGGGGAAGACAGAGTGTGAGCAAAAACGATTCAGGAACGGGTGCAACTGGTATATCCAACCCTAAACTGTACAAAGGCCCTTCTGGCTATGACTTCCATCTGGTCTTCTAACATAAGCCATGAGTCCACGAGGATCCCCATATGGCATACCAGGTCGATCTGGAGCTGTGCCACCACATCCAGGACTAATGGAAAACCTTGTCACCTGGAGCCCTAAATACTCAAAGTCTTGCTTGGATTTAGTCGAAGGCAACTGCAAGCGATCCAGACCATTATAGCCTCCAGGCAGTGACATAGGATGTCCATGGCATTGTTCAGGCAGCCCAGGGTGGAGTTATAAATCTGGGTATCATTAGTATATTGATAATAGCTTACCCCAAACTGTTAAATCATCTTCCCCCAGCAGCCAGATGTAGATGTTGAGTAGGACAGGAGAAAGAACTTGAGCCCTGGGGGTTCCTTACAGACTAGGACCATAGGCTGGATCACCCCCCACCCCCACCACCTGGATCTTTCCTCCTCCCTCAATCAACATAGACTCAAACTGACTCTGGAGGAAGGAGGAGGACCAGTGCAACACAGTGCTGCCCACCCCTAATTCCAAAAGCCAGGTCACAAAGAATGAAAATGGTCATACTACCCTGTCCCACTACCCCATCAATTAGGAAAGACTAGGCAGGCTGAAAAAGAAGTCTTTGAAAATAAATGGAGGAAGACAAATGTGCATGTGCATCAGGGTGGATAAAAATCAATGATTTTTTTTTTTAAAAAATCAAAAAAATCAGATTTTTTTTATTTAAATCGGATTTTTTTTATTTTTATCGAATTTATTTTAATAAAAAACTTGGGGTAAAAATCTATCGTAAGATAGTTTTCTATTTAAGATACATAAATAATTTAGTTTATTCAGCATGAAATGGAGCTTAGTTATGTAGCATGAGGCTGTATGTTCTGCAACACTGGGGCTATCGGTGAGTCAACAGTGGGTCAAAGGAGTAGCAGAGATGACAGTTGCTCTTTAAAAATTATGATTTAAATCGAGTTGATTTAAATCAAGCCTTTTTACTAGTGATTTAAATCATGATTTAAATTGTGATTTAAATCAACTCGATTTAAATCAAATCCACCCTGATGTGCATGCCTTGGAGTTAGTGTTGACCCCTGCCTGGACTTGGCAGTTTTCTTGGCAAGGATTTTTCAGAAGTGGTTTTCTATTGCCTCCTTCCTTCGGGTTCATAATAAATAACTGATCCAGGCCACCCAGCTGGTTTCATTCCTAAGGCAGGACTAGAATCCCTGGTCTTCTGGTGTCTACCTCATGCCTTAACCACACTACACAAAACTGGTTCTCAGAGGAAGACAATGCCATGCCAGAGATAAGGTTCAGATTGACTGGGAATCGAGAGGTAACATTGCATAAGTCTGGGAGACAGAAGTCTATGTCTTATGACAGTGATGGCTAAACTTTTTGCCGTCGCGTGCCCAAAGCGGGGGGAGTGTGGGGGGTCATGTGCACGTATGCCCATCCCCATAATTCAATGCGCCCCGCACATGTATGCACGACCCCCGCCGCGCTCCCCCCGCTTTTGGCACATGATGGCATTGTGGGCCCAGTAGACACATTTTTTCATTTTTCTCCAAAAAAGCCTGGGGAGGGTGAAAACAGCCTTTCCCATCCTCCCGGAGTCTGGAAACAGCCTGTTTGCCGACTTCTGGTGGGCCCGGAAGCCCGAAAATCAGATGCACGCACCGGAGCTGAGCTAGGGCAACGCTTCTGTGCCCACCAATATGGCTCATGTGCCACGGGTTCGCCATCACAGTCTTATGATGTAGACAAAGAGCTTGAGAAGCTGGTGAATCAGATGCTAATAAGAACCAACCAAACAGGACATCATGTTGACTTGTAAAATTTGCTTTTAGTTTTTCCATGAGTCTTGATGTTTTCTTTTTTTCCTATTTTACAGAATGTTATGGTTGTCAGCTGTGTATATCCTTCTTCAGAGTGAGTATGACCTTTGTTACCTTTATTTAAAAAGTTGATGCTGCTTCTTTGTCGAAATTGCAATGCATTTGTTATTGATGGGGTACTTGGGTTTGAGGGGAGCAGCATTAGACAGTTTTCTGTTAACAGGTAGTCTGGGGTCATCTTTATTTATTAGGAAATGGAATAGCAACAAATCAGCCTTTTTTTTAATGGTGGAAAGAGCATATACATACTTGCTTTTGGTGATTGCTTTTTTGCGTTAGGGTATGGTTGATTGTTTTTTTTTTTTTTTTATATTGGACTTATGAGAGAGAAGGTTTGCAGAGACAGCAGATGTTGCAGCCTGCCTGATCTGCACTGGGCTACTTTCGTGGAAAGACATTTAACCCTCAACGTTTGCTTATAAACCAACACAGCTTGGGCTATTAGCTGTGGAAAGAGAGAGTTATGCTAGGCATCTGTTCTTGCTTTGTCTCCCATAGTGTTATCAAGAGTAGGAACTGTGTTGAGATTGCCTTGGGTATGTGCCAGTTTCCGACAGCTGGTACACAGGTGTTTTGTTTGGAGGTATTGGAGGCTTTGCTGGGAGGTGGCGGTGGCAGAGGTGCTGCATTTGGCAGCAGTGCTGGTTTTTCAGTGGCCAGCAGCGAGGTGTATGGCTGAAAAGGAGCTGCTGCAGGCTAGAACTGGACTCTCACTGGTAGGCTGCAGCACTGGATCACCAGACAGCAGCATTGTTTAGCATGTGTTGCTGAGGACTCGTGACAGCATGGCGCCCTGAGAAGGAGCGGTTTGATTCAGACGTAATATTCTGGATGACAGGAGGCCTCTTGTGTGATTTTTGGCTGTTGTGTGGTAGGGGGCTAGCAGAGAACTTTCCCCTCAGTAATTGCTGTCAGTCCGTTTGGTAGACATCTCACCTGTGCTGGAAAAGAGTCCTGGATGAAGTGGATTATTAGTTGCATTTCAGGCCTGGATATGGGACTGAGACGGTATCGGTTATAGTGTTACGGAATCACATGATCATGATTTGCAACTTTTTAACCACTTTCTGGTTTTAAAAAAAACCCATTCAGGTTTGCTTAATGACTGTGTGATCTGCTTAATGACCATAACAAAAAATGTCAAAAAAATGGGTTCAGTCATTTCTGGGATTTCTTGTCCCAGTTGAGATCCTAAGACAAGGGCTATCTGTATAAAATCTGGGATATTTCATCTATAATATAAGACATACTTTGTTTCAAAGTAAATTGACAAGGAATTTGTAGAGAGCTAACAAATGAAAAGAGTTTATAGGCAGTCTTTTTCTAGTGACTATAATCAGAATTAGCAATTCTGACATTAAGCAAAGCAGTCACTGAGTGAAACCGTGACTGCTTTATGATCTTATTTCAGGCCTGCAAAAGTTGCAAATGCAAGGATTACTCACATAATTACTTTTTCATCACTATTGCAATTCTGAACAGTCGCTATATGTGGCAGTCACTGAACAAGGATTACCTATGTATTATCCATGGTCTTTAATTGAATATTTCAGGAAGGGAAGGCGGAACTAGAGGCAAGAAAGTATATTAGATGGTAAAAAATTAAAGATTTTTTCTCCAGTACACAGTTGTGTTTTTGTATAATTGAATAGTTTTTCAGTACTGTTGGGAAAAAATAAACATAGCAGGTTCTCTTTAATAATTTATTAGAATTATACAACTTTTAGGGGGTGGAAAACAGAAACAAAGCTTCTAGGAATCTGGAGGTGTTTGTTGTTAGCCAAAACGTTTTTTTAAAAAAACCTATATATTGCAGAAATCTCAAAACACGTTTATTTCTTATAGGAAAAATAATTCCAACAGTTTAAACAGGATGAATGGTGTAATGTTTCCAGGAAACTCACCGGGTTATTCAGACAGGTAAGAAAGAGTAGTTAAAATGATCACATTCTAAGAAGATAAGATGATGGATTAGTATTTAATTTCCAATGTTTGTTTTTTAAAACACTTGGATATTTAACTATAATTCAAAATCTTTGATTCAGGTCATTTCTTGTTCTAAAATTATAGTTTATTTGGGAGATCAAATGCTTTTCCAAAGATATATATAAAGTAGATTATCTAAGTTATACTTTATTATACTAATGTTATACCGTACTTTGATTATATGACAGTATTTTGTATTATCGAATAGTTTTTCAGTACTGTTGGGGGGAAATGATACAACTTTCATTATTAAATAATGGCGGGAGTCCATTTATAATAAGAATAAATTGATATATATTTTGGGATCAAAGAGAAATTTGACTTTCCAAATTTGACTAATTAAACATTTTCTTTGCAGATCTAATATAAATGGTCCTGGGACACCCCGACCTGTAACTCGACCAAAAGTTTCCTTGTCACCTCCTATGACTACAAATGGTTTACCAGACAGTTCCGAAAGTAAGGAGCTGGGCCTCCTGCAAACTGAAGAGAAAATTAACAGGTTTGTAAGAGAAATGTATCTTCAAACATACTGGTTAGACTCTGAGATTAACATTTTATTTTTTAATCCCATTTTCCCTTGGAAGTCTTATGTTTTATTTCTATCAAAATATGCCATATTTAGAAAAAGCACAGAAAGTTCCTCAATCTGAAACCATTTCTTCAGTGACTGTCCAATGTGAACAGTGGCACTGAACCAAGGGATTTACAACCTGTAAACCACAAGATTTACAATCTTAGATCCGAAGTTACGGCTGTTGAAGTACCTGGTGGTTGCACGATCCAAATTTGGGTAATTGGCAGCCCACCAGCACTTATGACCCCAGGTGCGCTTCAACCCCAGCACCGTTGTTCAAAGCTGCAGTTCCCCTGTGCTTACACTTTCCTCCAGCTACTGATGAGGCGTGCTTGGCCTGCTCACAACAAGCCTTTTTCTCGAGGGCCATTCGCATCATTCTCCAAGTCATGCATGCCATTTATGCTTCAAACAACACACTCCAGTCTTGCAATGCTTTGGAAAGTCTTCAGAAGGCTTTTGAGGAATTTTGAAGCACCATGGGGAAGAGGTGTGCCCTCCCTTCTTCAAATAGCAGGCCCATTCTCACGAAGAAGACCTCAGAAGTTTTCCGAAAGCTTTCCGAAGCATTGGGAAAGTGGAGTGTACTACTTGGAGAATGAATTATGCACACAATTTTGGAGAACAGCAACTTTGTAAGAAGGCCTGGCACGGCCAGCACCTGTCTTATAGATACAGTAGTTGTCAGGCTGGGCACATCTCAGCAGTAGCAGGAAAACTGAAAAGATCAGCCGGGCACAACAGGGCCTGTGGAACACAGAGTGATCAAGATTTCCTGGGATGCAGTGGTTTTGTGTCACGCTACTGGCCAGGGTGGGTCGACTGTGGGTGTGACTTTGCTGTGGCTCAGGGGCTTCTTTCTGGCCAAGAAACTCCCTGAGCTGCAGTGTATTACTTTCCTGGCCTACCTGTGCTCATTCCACATTGCCCGCCCCCCCCCAAACCTTAATGATTCACTCATTTAGAGTTATAACAATAACCAGGAGCACCAGAATTACAGTTGCTAAGCAATAAAGTCACACGATGACTTGCTTTATGACTGCATCACTTAGCAATGGAAATTCCAATCCTAATTGTGGTTGTGAGTCAAGGACGATCTGTATTTTTTGCTAACGCTTGAAAAACAATGTTCTCCAAGATGAAAACAAGCACAACCTCTTTTCAGGCAGATTTCATGTGGGCATGAACTATTCCTTTCTTATTTTAAAAGTCTTAATGCTTAAGTACTCACCATATTAGGAAACTGTAGGATGTGTATATAAATAATGTATCTCAGAGTACCTCAGTTGTTGATCTTTAAAATTATTTAGATCATAATCTGTTGTGGGAAATTAAATGTCAATGACATTTTAAAAACTTTTTTTTTCCAACTGAGGGAATTTGTTCTGTCTATGGAATTGAGAAGTAACAGTTGATTATACATCCCCTTGCGTTCTTAAAAATTCAGTAGGGATTTGACAGGCTGCAAAGGGGAGAAAGGGGGAAATTTTATTGCGCAAGCAAAAAAATCTGTTTGTACCAATACTGAATTGTATCCATTGATTATAAAGAACCAGATTTCCTGTACATTATGAATATCATTTTGCTTAAAACAAGATTTTATTTTATTTTAAACAAGATTTCCCAGTTGAATTGGAATGGTGATGCTGGCACAATTGGCTTGTATCAAAACTTTTGCTTTTTTATTCTGTGCATCATTGCAAAAATAGTTTGCAAGAATAGTTGGTGTATATCAAAACATTTAATAAAGTTATATTTAGACAAAGCGGTAGAAGTTACCCAAATAAATAGGATTGATTCCTTAAGATGCAATATCCCTGCTTTATCTCTTCATATGAAAATATGGTCCTTTGTGTTTCCATTATTTTTCTGTCTTTTAGTGAATCGCCAGCATCTGAGCCTGAAAGAGTCCAAAACTGTCCTGTAAAAAATAAACACCCAGGAGAAGATCCATCAGAAATGGAAGGCTATGAAGTAAAAAGACTTAAATTTGACAAAGAGGAGGAAGCTGAAGAAACCTCCAACCAGACTGGTTCCCATGAAGCTTGCTCAGCAATGGTAGAAGAGACTGAGACAAGTTCTGCATCACAGGATAAAGAAAAAGAAGCTATTGGAGAGAGACAACATTGTAAAGAAGACGTTGAGGAGGAGGAAGAAGGTATATACTATTTCAGTAGAAAATGTATTCTCTGAATATGTGTTTAAAACATGGGTTAAATTTACATTTATCATTTATTTTGAATTCCATGAGTTGAAATCAGACTTAATCATAAATAATAGTTTAGTTATGTCCCATTCATTTCTATATAGAATAAGATCTGCATCCAACCCAATTTTGTTTGAAGTAATGCTAGTTTGTTTGAAGTATCCTAGTTACGAGAATGAGAAAGACCTGGGAGTGGTCTTTCTAATAAGTTTCTATGAACATACTATGTTTTGATAGTACAGTGAAATTGTGTGGATTGTGTATTAAATTCAGACTGAACTCCAATTGTTTCTGTCAATGGTCAGATTTGAATGTGTGTTGTATTTTGTAAATCAGCATTGCAAATAGTTGATTTTTGTGCAGTGACATTTCCACAAACTTTAATTCATAAAAGGTCACTAAAACTGACTTTTAATCTTCTGCCTTCGTGCCAGTGTAACTGCAACATTTAGCAAATTGTGGAGTCCTTGGTGCTTTCTGGGTTTGGTTATTTTCTTGCAGATGTTTATTACTCAGCTAGATAACATCAGTGCTAGTAGGGAATGAGGTTTCTTCTCATTTCATATACGTATATAAGTACACATATAGTTATATACTTGTCCTATCAGTGTTGGTGGGGTTTGGTTTGTCACAATAAAAAACAACCAATTAGAGAACACATGAAATCATCATCAACATCTTCAAATGTACAAAATTCACTAAAGGAAGAAGAAAACAACATGCTACCCTTTCTGGATATGCTGGCAAATTAGAAACATAAGCCTAACGTAAAACCATCCACGCCAACCAAGTGCTCCACTGTGAAAGTAACCTCTCATAAGAGAAGGTCTGTAAGCACACTATGTAGATGAGCACAAACACACTGCAGCATCCCTGAACATCAGAAAAAGGAAACCGATCATCTATACATCTTCCAACAAGATATCCATGCAACTTCATCAAGTTGCGGTTAGTTGTAATAAACGAACCAAACTTCATCAAAAAGTGCCTGACAACTCCATCCAATATAGCACAACCAATACAAGCTGTGAAACGATTAACACTGCCATACATCAGAAACATCTGAGAAACCACCAACAGTCTATTACAACCACATGGCATCGTAGCCCACAAACTAACTAAGGCCCTCCAGAATGTCCTAAGTAAACCAAAAGGCCCAGCAACCCTAGAAATAAAAACAGGACTCCTCTACAACATACAGTGTAAGGACCTCAGTAGCCACTATGTAGGACAAATAGGCAGAAGACTAGCAGATCGCATTCATGAACACCAGCTAGCAGTCAAGAAACATGATAAAAGCTCCTTAATTTCACATCACATGGGCAGACTTAACCAGTTTCAACTGGGCAACTGTGACCATTCTAAATCAAGCCAAGTCGAAAAATGTCACAGAATTCCTGGATGGCATTCAGACAAATCAGCCATCAACAAGCACATAACATCGACATATCATTCAAAACAGACAACCAAAAAGTCAAAAAGGAAAGAAAAAGACCCAGACATCTCATCAGCAATCAACATCCAGAATAGCAGAGATTAACATCAAGAGTAACATTAGACCAACAATCGGGAAGTAAAAAAATCAAGGAACTGCCAAACAAGCTATCAGAGAATAGTCCAATCAAGGAACCACCAAGACCACCCCCACCAACATTGACAGGACAAGCCACCAGTATATAAAATGAGAGAATACCCCACTCTCTGTTGGAACCAATGATGTTGCCTAGTTTGGTAATGAAATGTCTGCAAAAAAAAAAAAAAAAAACCTCAGACAATACCAAGGTTTGCACAGTTCAACCTGGAACTACAAATAATGTGTGGGATCAGAATTGGTCTCCTTAAACTGGAGATTGTTACATTGGTTAGTTGAACTATCTCATGTCATTGATCTTGTAATATTAAAGCATAGGAAATTAACAACGGTTTGGTTTAGTGTTACATCGTCATGGGGAGAATAGGATGTTCTTGTTGGAGCAGCAGAATATAATGATCCATTTCTGGCTGCCAAGATTCTAATATTTTGCTTGTTACTCAAAATGAGAAATTTAAATACACAGAGAACTATGTCTTGTGACTACCACATGCAATCCCCTGCAATCTCTAATTGATATTGTACTTCCCCATACAAATAAAGGCTCCCTCAAGATGATCTTAACTCTTTCTGGCTGCATCATGCAGTTTTCTTGGTAGTATTACAGGATTGGTTTGCCATTGCTGCCTTACAGGATTCCCCTCTCCTTCAATTTTCCAATCTAGGCAATAGACTTGGAGTTCCCAAGGGTTCTCTTTATTCAAGAACTAACCAAAGCTTATAGCATCTTTTAAGTTCCCAACTAAGCAAAGTCAGCTAAATGCTGCCACCTGCTGAGGCATAAAGCACAAGAGGGGATGTATTTTCATGATTGTTACCTGTATAAACTTATAATGTTGCTTTGTTTTAAACATCCATATAACAGATTCTAACTTTATTCCAGAATCTCTCATGATGTCAAGAGAAGTGTTTCCAGAAAGAAAAGTTCTAGACAAAGACAGTGCCTCCTTAATTGAGAAAGAAGATGTTTCTGAGGAGAATAATCAAATGGGAGAATCTGACCAGACTCAAGCAATGAAAGACTCATCTTCTCCAAATAGTGAGAACAGTGAATCTTTTAGTAGCAAAGCTGACAGCAGTGACCAAGAAGAATTGGGCTCAAACGTTAGTGAAAATCCTGAAATTGCATCAGAGACCCCAGTGGAAAACAGCGATGAAGCCACAGAAGCTGCAGATGAACCTATGGAACAAGACTAATAATTTTAATACACTTAGAGGCAGTATTTTCCACAAGGCTCTGGTTTTACACTGTATAAATAATTTTATGTAATAAAAGTGGACTGTTAGTTTTCCAAGAGAAGCAGGCTGTAAATTGAACTTCTCAGTGCGTTAAATCCTGAAGGACTTGTACTTGTTACTGTGAAATATTGGCTCCTTCAGGTCCTGCTTGCCACTGAAATTTCAGTATGGTCAAATCTGGTCTGTGTATAGTTTTTTATTATTTAGAATTAAAATTTTTAAACTGGAAGGCAGTTCTAATTCTGACAATTTTTTGGAGATTCTTCATTTAATTACTTCTCTCTCTTTCCTTTAATTCCCCTGAATGCTGTAGCAGTTAATTTTTGGTTTGGTTTTTAACGCTTCAATTTCATGTTGGTTTACAGATTTTCATTTGACTACATTTTGTGCTTGAAAAAGCTACATATTGGCATATAATAAATACTTGATAATATACAAATCTAAAGAAAATCTATGTTTGCACTTTAGATGCATTTTCTGTTCCAGACAGAAGCAACCAAGTTCTTTCATACAAGAAAACATTTTTACCCCCAAATAAACCAAATAAAATTAGGCCCACATGATAGCCTAAAAGATCTAAATGTTGTTGAAAGTACCAGGTCAAATACATTCCAAGAGTTCTGTTCTAACAACACTTTTTGTACATTTCTGAGGTGCCTGGAAGATAGGTTTCCATTTTACTGTTGAAAAACTGTGTTGAGAACAGATTTCAAAATAATATCTTCAGCTTTTTTTTTGTAGCAGGAATGTTTGCAAACCTGACAAGATAGTTTCTGTGAACTGAGGAAATTTCTGACATTACATAATGGTTTTATAGTAGGAGATCAGACTGATATGAAATGCTGCAGCATTGCATGTCTTAGTTATGTATCAGAATTGAATGGCTACCATTTGTACATTATTTTGAAAGTGAACTAAATATTTTTGAACATGCCACTTTGACAGCCAGTGTTAACACTTCCTTTCCAAAACCAGCTGAAAGCACAATTACTGCTTTAAATATGTCACATTATATTTTTCAGACATCGGTGTGCAAAAACACTCAAAATATAACCTCCCAGTCACATTTACTGGCTGCCAAATTTATACCTGTTTCTTCAACTGTACCTTTTTGATATTTAGAATTTTTAAATTTCTGTAAAGTAGATTTTTGTAGATTGTAAAGAGTGCTCACTGCCATTGTGAAACGGTATATAATTGTATAATTTGTGTGTAAACTGGATGCTTGGGCTTTCAATACAGTATTCATATAAAGCAATAAATATTAATGTCAAAATGTTTGAGTACATTTTAATCAAAACATAATGGGACTCCCTTTGTTGGCAGAGAAGACACATACCGTGGAGTACAAAAATAATCACCAAAGTGCATGCTAACAATTGTACTGCATGGTGGGTTTCATTCTGGAGAACTGGGTTTTGAATTCAATGTATTCCAAAATAACTTGAATGAATTTGCAAAACTGCTATCAGGTTAAAAGTTAAAAAGGTGTTGCTTGGGAAAAATATCTAGTGCCCTTCTACATACTTACAAGTGAAAAATCAATTTATGTTCAGTTACTTTCTCTTGGCAAGAGAAGGGGGTTGAATATGTACTGTAAGCATTAAAGAGGGGTTTACTCAAACCAAAACAGGAATTGTAAAACATGTCCCAAAACACAAATCTATAAGATATACTTTTTTCTCCTTGCTTTTTTTAAGGAATACTTTGCAAATGAGAACAAAATTTAAGTTTAGAGACTTCTGAAATTTTCTTTAGAATGTTTGTGAAAATACTGTTAATAAATTATTATTTAATCATCTGTGATCTTTTGACATGTTTATTTTAACACGGTTGCCCTATATGGTAAGCAATGAGTTTTATGAACTGTAAAAGCTCAAAGCAAATAGATTAAATTACTTTGAATAGTCCATGTACAGATAGCCCTTGTTTAGTGACTGCCTTGGACAACGACCAGTTGGTAGTGAAAAAGTAATTATGTGATCAATGTCTGCATTTATAACTTGCAGCAACTCAATCTCAGTGTATTCATTTGCCATTACAGTTTGTATGTATTGTCTGGCCCATTCCCCTCCCACCCCAGCTGAAATATTGCCTAATGTTATCTCTTCCTAAGGTGCTTTTCTCCATAGTGCATGAATGTCTAAAAATAGCTAACTGCAGGTTAATAGATTCAGTTCTGTAATCTTAATTAGAATCTTCTGGGGCTGCTGCTTGTCACTGACAAGACTCTAATCAGTTTCACATTGAAGGCTTTTATTTGCTCCTAAGCAGCTTATGGCAAGTATACTAAACAAACAGCTCATGCCAGTGCATTCCTTTTGACACGTATTCCATTTTTGTGTGCTTGCCTTACTCTCTTGTAATCCCTTCCTCTCCAATGAATGTAAACACAAGACATCAATATTCTGGACAATTAACGGAGTGTCAGGGTGAACATTTCAATGGCCAATGGAGTGGTAGAAAAGCAATAAGATTTGTCCTTTTACCTAGGTTCTTGTGATATATACTTGTTTGAGGTCATCTGGTTTTTTGGAGTCATTTGCCGATGCTGTAAAAAAAAAAAGAAAAGCTGAAAACTAATATCGTAAAACACAGTCATACATATATGACTATATATGTATATATAGTCTATAATGTAGTCTAGACTATGTATACACACACACACACACACACACACACACACACACACACACACACATGTAGTCATATATAGTCATGTATATATATCCTTCCCCTCCCGCAACAGAAATTGCTTAAAGACCAAGTTGCTGGTCCCAATTGCAGTCATTAAACAAGAACTATTGTATAAATTTTTGTCAGTATCACTAATCTGTTTTCTATAGACGTGTCATTTTTGGGGATTTGTGGCTGATGCTTCTTTCTATACTCAGTTGTGTCTCCTTATGAAATTCCCTCCCTTTGGCAGTGTGTCAGAAATTCTATAGCCCAGGTATTAGCTGCTTTATTTGGCCATCCTTATTCAGGTTTGTGCACAAAGTTTGTAAATAATTTTTATCCTGTTTTAACCCCTTTTAAGCTTTTTGCTGGTTAGGATTCAGTGTTGTTTTATCTCTTATTTTAGTTTGGAGGTAACACATAAAGTTATAACTAATAACGATTATAGAAATAGCCATTAAAGCAGAGACAAGGATTTTTCCAGAGCACTTCATTCTACACAACTCTCCACACAGCTTCCTATGTTTGCTTCCATGCCTTAGTGCAGAGCAATCAAAAAGATACCTTCCATCTCAGCTCAGAATAAAAATGGAGCTGAATGGGACAGCAAATTGAAAATATATTTCAATTTGCTTATTATTTTTTACTAGCCATTTCAAACAAAAACAAACTAAATCCAGCAGGGGTTGTTCATTACCGGAGAGAAAAACTTTTGATGAAAAGTCCACTTTTTCACATACCCTTTTCTAAAACAATAATAAAAATCCAAGAAGATAACAGTATTATTGCAAGCTGCTTTTATGGTGATCCATTGTTCTCTCTGGCTAAGCAGGTAAAAATCCTATAGTTGAGTGGACATGCACTGCCCCCTATTGGCAATAAGGGAAACACCTTCCTTTGCTCATTATATTTGGGACGGCAGACAAGTTTTACATTGGCAGCAAGTTTTGAAATCTTGACAGTTCAGTCAAAATAATACGTTTCAAAGCACATGAAACTAACCACAAGAGAGGAACCAGAGAGTTGGTTCAAATTTTCAGTGCAAATGCTTGATTATTAAAGGAGCCAAAATGTTTAGAAAAATAAAAAGGAAAAAGACAAAAGGAAGGCTAAATTAAGAAAGAAACTGACAGCAATAATTATATTGGTTATAGAAAACAGCAGAGAATATAAAATTACAGGCAAAAAACCCCCAAAAACTATAAATATTTTAGCAAGAGGGCAAAGAAAAAAAGTGTTGACAGTTTTAAGTGTAAGTTTAAAATTTCTCATGCCATCATCATCTAGAAAAACAGTAAACTTTAAAAGAAATAAAAGTATAGTTGCTACTTCATATTTATCCCTGACAAAATGAAACAACCATCTGATTATTTAATGTCATTTGGATGTTACACAAAGTGTTCTTTCAGTCTATGTTGTCTTTTCACAAGCTATTTTTTTTGTCATGAATGAACAAATGCATCTTTTCTTACAATGATGAGGGTCAACTTTTGCAGGTAGTCCTCAACTTACCACGGTTTGTTTAGTGACCATTCAAAGTTACAACCGCACTGAAAAAACTTTTTCACCGCTTGCGACTGTTTCGATGTCTCCATGGTCATATGATCAAAATTCAGCCGCTTGGCAACTGACTCATATTTATGACGGTTGCAGTGTCCCGGGGGAGGGGGGATCATGTGATCCTCTTTTGCGACCTTCTGACAAGTGAAGTCAATGGGGAGGCCAGATTCATTTAACAACTATGTTAGTAATTTAACAACGGCAGTGATTCCCTTAACCACTGTGGCAAGAAAGGTCGTAAAATGGGGCAAAACTCACTTAAAAATTTGTCTCACTTAGCCAGAAATGTTGGGCTCAATTGTGATCCTAAGTAAAGGACTAGCTATACATAATAAGTTGTTTTATTTCGGGGGGAGGGGGAATTGACTGGTGTTGCAGGTCTTGTACCTTGGATGCAGTGGTGGGATGCTGCCGGTTTAACAACCGGTTCGGTGAGCACGCGCTTCACGCTGAAAATGGAGCATTTAGAAGCTCAGCTGCTTCCAAGTCAGCAACAGTAAGTAGAACAGCGAGGGGGGAAATCAGCTCCGACTCGCGATTGAGATGAGCTAGAAAGCAGGAAATAAAGGACAGGATAGGGAGGGGGTGAGTGGACGGGGCCAGCTGATAGTTGGAGCTACCGGTTTGCCCGAACCGGTCCAAACCGGCTGAATTCCACCTCTGCTTGGATAGTCCTAGGTAAAGCACCCTACTAATAGGGCTTCTTATTCTTGGAACAGTCTTGTGGCCCCTTGGATGGTTCTGCTGGCTTCTTGGATGGCTGTGCAGAGAATGTGGAAGTCTGTGTTTTGCATGCAAGCTATTGTGAAGAGGAGATCAAGATCTTCTTTTCCCACAAAAACAAGACCATTGCACATCCATTTGCTGGAAGAACTGTCTCCCCAGTTGAGTTGAGGAGACTACTGCTTTTGTTTAAGACAATTTAACATGGTGCTAATTATGCTAATCCAAGAATATTCTGTTTAATAGCTGTCAGACCTGGAAGCCATCTTTTACATTTGGGCCTTCAGGACTGCCACATTATCTTCTGTGGGAAAATGGGAGGGGGCCTTGCATAGAGTATAGGTGATATGTAGTCAAAATAACATTCCTTTCTCAGAGACTCAAGGACACCTTGCCCTGGCACCTGGAGTTGGATGATTGGGAGGTATCTCCAGTCTGGACGGTGCATTGATTGGGCCATGTGATGGACATGTGGGTGCTGGGCAGGGGCTTGAACTTTCATTTGGGTGAGGAAAACCTGGAAACTTTCAGATTCGGGTTTTCCCAGGTATGCCAATATGACATCTTCAATAAAAAAGAACTTTGAGGAAACTCAAGCCTCGGAGTCTTCTTTTGTTGGGGTTGTTACTTGGAACCCTGATGATAGCATTTTCTTTGCTGCAGTAACCAACTAAACTCAGTTGATCTAGAAAAGCCCAAGCAGTGTCATAGCTATTTGTTTGTTTGTTTGTTTATTTATTTATTTGTTTGTTTGTTTGTTCAATTTCTATGCCGCCCTTTTCCAGAGACTCAGGGCAGCTTACAATGCGTTAAATAATAGCCTTCATACTTTTGTATGTACCTGCTTAGTAGGGCTTTCGGGGGGCCCCCAAGCGGTGTTCTTCTTTTTTATACAAAGTCAGTGTCAAGCTTCGTTGTTATCTTATTGCCCCCACAAACTAGGTCCTCATTTTACCTACCTCGAAAGGATGGAAGGCTGAGTCAACCTTGGTCTTTGATGGGAGAGAGAGACCATCTGAAATGTCACTGGAGAAGCTGGGGGAAAAAAATCTCAGAAGACTGCCTTGCCCAATTATTTTAAACCAAACCCAAAATAGCTTGGAGAGATTCTCCAGAAAGAAAGCTGGGGTGTGTCTGCAATCCAGCTGCCCCCCCCCCCCATTTTTTTTAAAAAAGGCATCAACATCATACAGTCAAAATCTAAGATTGTTCACTCTTTCTTAGGATTGTCTGCATAGTCTGTTCTCTAAAAGGCTGGCTTAATTTACAGCACTGCAACCTTGCCATTGCTACTGCTGCTTGTTATGAAACTCCCTGAAAAAAATAATTTTCTTGAAAGTTCAAACAACACAACAAATCACCTGCTACACATCATTTTCTAAGGAAGTAGGCAGAAAAAAGAGGCAAAAGTGGTATCATTGAAAAAGACACATACAGAGACACACAGAGATGAAGCGACTCCTCTGCCAACAAATGTCTTTTTCTTGTATGGCACTTGACAATGATTATTCAACCAAGACAATGACAGGTTACATTAAACTGTCTGTACATCAAAACCCTCCTTCTGATTCTTTTTTCTTTTTTGTAATAAATAGCCTGTCTGATGCCTGTCTTGTGAGCATTGCCATTGGGCGGTTGGAGGGTTTAGAAAGAGCTAATTATTAACCACTTTAACTGGAAAAAAAGCTTGATCTCTAGCCTTGCCTGATGGCATCAGGCTGGCATTTGAGGTCTCCTGGGACGTCTTCAGAAGGATCCATCTGGCAGCGTAACAAAAGGCTGAGTAACTTTGGTTTCCCACTTAATGGGAAGATATGCTGGCACTGCTTGAGCAAACAA